AGATAGGATGAAGGGCCAGCCGATTTCCATACAAACTAAGTGGGTTTCGGGTTGCATCATTACTTGCTATGAAAATGCCAACATGCATCCCACCTCACAGAGCAACCGTGTATTCTAAAACTCAGCCCACATCGACAGGGCTACTGAAGGACATTCCCATAGGAGAAATTGGCAGGACTGCTATTTGGTCTTCCATCTATACCTTTGACAAACATTACGCCATTTTACCTGCTTCTAGCGATACCACCACCTTTGGTGATGCAGGGTTTTGAACTATTCTGGACTTACCTCCTCAGCACTTCTCGATGGGTTACTGCTTGGGAATCTTCTATGGTGGCACACCCATGGGACATATACTTGAAAAAGGAGAGATTACTTACCTCATAGTAACTTGAGTTCTTTGAGATTTTTTTACCTGTGGATGCTCCACCTCCCACCCACCTTTTGCTCTACTGCAGAGTTAGGCTTCAAGGTCAATAAGGAATTAAGTGGCGGTGGGCTTGCACCTCCCTATATGCCCTTGTCAGAGCATGAGGCACTGTCCCACACAGCCGTGGGCCTGCAGACACTACTTTGCAGTCTGTGATAGAGAGCACAGATCAGAGTTCAGGAACCTACTAAGGGCACTCATTCTCTGAGGAAAGAATTGACTGAAAGACCTTAATTAACAGGCTCTGGAGGGAGTTAAATTTACCTGGCGGGTTGCTGTAATGAATGCACTTTAGGTATGGATAGGAGAACAGGCTCCAACAAGTCCCCTTTTCTCTCCCCAAAAATGCAAAAGAAAAGTGGGATTGTGGGACAAGAAAGCTGTTAGAAATAAATTAGATTGGAGGTGACGGGCAAGAAATGAACATACAAAGCAAATTTTTTCTTTCACACTGGAGGAAACTCTGTTGAAGTCCGGACTGTAACTAAAAGCAAAATATTCAAGGGAGGAGAAAAGACAAACACCCACCAGAGGGGAGAAATATTAATAGGTTAATTTAAGGTTATATATTTTAATTGAGTTTCTTCTTTGAGTACTGTTCCTATGGGTTCTCCACATCATGATGTGCGTCTGCCTGTGCACACTTGATCTGCAATTTTTGCCAGCAGTGTCCGTGGGGTCTGCCTTTGCGCCATGAAAATTCTCATGTTCTGGTACAAGAATATATAGGGAGGGTGGGACTTGCTGCCACACTCTAGTTCCTTTTCAACCATCTGTGGCTGGAAACAGAGCATTGTGGTGTCAGTTAGCTAGCTACACAGCTTGCTACCTCTTCCCCTTAAACTTTTATTTTCTTTATTTTATGGGCGGGGGGTAAGTAAGTTTGTACTTTTTTGGGATGGGATTTCTCTCTTCCCTTCGTCATTTGCCCAGTCTGAGCCCTTGTGTTTTGGGGTTTTTTTGTTTTGTTTTGGGCCTTTCTGTGTCAGATAGTTAAGCCGCCTTGGCTTCCTGGGACGACTCGCATCCCTTTCAAATGTAAGGGTATGTCTACACTGGCAAGTTTCTGCGCCACAAGTTGTATCACTTTTATTAAAACGCTGGAATTAAACCGCTGTTGCATGTCCATACTGTGCTTCTTGTGATGTTGGAGCACATCCACATGAGCAGCTCTTGCAATGGCAAAGACAGCAGTGCAGTGTGATAGCTATCCCACTGTGCAACTGGCTGCAGGGTGCTTTGGGAAGGGTTTGCAATGCGCGTGCACGCACACACACATCCCTGCCTCTATGTTCAACAGCAGGAGCATTCCACATTAATGGTTTGCTTTGTGTCCTGGAGCAGATCAGCACAGCACGCAATGGCTGTCAGAAACCGTGCTTTGAAGGGGGAGGGACGCATGTCTCCAGGGCAGCCGAGTTCAAAACAATGAGCAGAGTGGTCACTTGAGGCATTATGGGACAGCTCCGGAGGCCAATTACAGCGCCGAACGCAATCAAGTGCCTACCCTGGGAATAGAGCACTGGAGCCTCTGTGGAAATACCCTTACGACTCTCGTCGAGGCGGTTCTTTTGCAGTGCTGCAACTGAGGAGTTTCTGCAAACAGAGTGGCTTGGCAGTGTGTACACATCTGCAGTTTGAGCACAAAAGCTGCTTTACTGTGCCGAAACTTGCCAATGTAGACAAGGCCTTAGATCTGTTCAGGGTTTAAAAGCAGCTCTAAGAAATTGAGGGAGGACAGACTTAAATGCCTGTTGGTTGAGTGAGTGCTCTGAGACCCATGGGGTACAATTCACTCCCTGTACCTTGGACCTGGTTGCTCACAGACCCCTGGTGACCATGTCAGTTGCAATGGTAAGCAAAGACCCTGAGGGCCCTTCAGAACCATCCAGACCCTCAAAGGGTGGGATAGCTCAGTGGTTTGAGCATTGGCCTGCTAAACCCAGGGTTGTGAGTTCAATCCTTGAGGGGGCCACTTAGGGATCCTAGGGCAAAATTGGTACTTGGTCCTGCTAGTGAAGTCTGGGCTGGGCTCGATGACCTTTCAAGGATATCTCCAATTTAATTTAGAAGAAAAGGCCACATTCTCCAGAACAGGCTAAGAGAAGGGGAAAGTTACCCCCTCGGTCTGGATCTCAGGAGACCTTGCATCCTGGTTCCACTGAGGCTCCGATCATCTCGTACTGAGACTAGAGCATTGGCTAAGAAAACCATGCTGCATACTGAAAAGCCATCAGGTCAAGAACTTAGAACAGCACTAGCATCAAAGCCACAAGGTCTCTAGAGCCACACCAAAATCATTCAGTGCCATCTTCTATAACCAGATGAGAAGGGCACACCACTTGCCCTTCAGTACCCTCTCCAGTACCGCTCAACATAAGGGCTCGTGAAGCTTGAGTCCCCGGTACCATCCAAACTGCTATTCAGTGATGATCTTTGAATCCTGGAAGGACCTGAAACGATTTTACAAACTATTCAAAATTTTCATCTTTCATTGAACACCTGCCTCAGGATCAGAGGGAACAATTTCATGCCTCCATAAGAGAAGGGCAGACAATTGCCAAGATGTCTCTTCGGGCTTCTCTCAGTGCTGCTGACACAGCTGCACGTTCCATGGATAGGGCAGTAATCATGCCCCAAGTTTCTTGGCTACCTCTGACTTCCCCTGTCAGGTATAGAATACAATCAAAGACCTTCTCTTTGGGGAGGGCACATTATATAGTGATTCTTCATATTCTTACGCTCCCAGGCAACACTACAATCTTTGGGCATCTATACATCCCAGACAAGGAGAAAATACAGTAGATTGCAGATGCCTCAATGTCTTGCCCAGGTCACTGCCAGCCCTGAGAACTGCTGATCTCTTACTCGTGTGCAGTCACACAATGTATTCCTTCTTTTTCTTTTTGCCAGTGTAAACAATATGCGACTTGAAGGACCGTGTGATGAAAATGAAATCCGTGACAACATCCATTTGCGTCGTAACTAAACAGAATAGAACTGTAACAAAGTGCACTTCCCCTTCCTCGTCCCTTAGTGTACTGGATGGCTCCTGACTTTGTGAAATCATTGCAGCAATGTATAAATTGGGTATGAAATGAAAATTCTCCTTTCTATCTAGTGTACCAGGACACTGGACAAATGCTATGGAATCATTAAGTTGATGTGCTGTTTGCTGCAGCAGGGAACCAGTCAGAAAAGCAACCAAACCCCCATGAATATCAGTGAAGTAGAATCAAGGGATACGAGGGCATTAGAGAGAGAGACTCTCAAACCCAGTTTGCCCCCATCTTTTATGTGTCATCAGAACTTTTAAAACCTGTTTTATACTCTTTTATTGTTGTTGCTAACTGCAAACTGTTCTGGTTGGCAGTTTGACAGCTAAACAAGGTTTTCACTTACATTGTCATTTTTTAAAGAAAACGGATCTTCTTTGCAAGTCGGAATAGTCTGTCTTCACAGATGTTAAGGATGATAAAGTTTAGAAGTTATAGTTCAGCCCCATGCTTGTGCGTCTTAATTTTTATCTGATACTCTCTCTAGTTTTCTGTTTGACTAGTTCCCTTCCAGTGCAGCATTTCTCCAGCTTCTCCCCACCCTCCACTGTACAACTTCTCCTTCCTCGTTCCCCTCCCCTCCGGGTAGACACACTCAGACTAGCGCTCTTCTGTGCAGAGGTACTTCTCTGATAAAATCTTTGGTTGGACAGCAGGGGGAGTTCTACAAGAGATCAACTCAGATCTTAATTTTTTATTTAAAGTGTAACCTTTCCAAGTTAAGATTAAATAATGTAGGAGGAGCTCACCCCAGCAGAGGGGGCTGGTAGACTCCCTCTGCACACTTGATATTTTTTATTAGCCATACTTGTTTTCACTGTCTAAAAAAACCCTATTTTAAAAATATTCTCACTAGCACTTAAGCCTTAGTGGTTTTGAGGCTTTTGAAAAAAGGGTGCAAGGAAGTGCTAAGTAATTAGGAAATGTTTGTAGCTAAACATCTGCTTTGCAGAAATGGTGACATGTGAAAGAAAAATGAAGCAGAACAGGTCTCTTCTGGTTGTGAAATAAGAAAATGTATTTCTGCTGCCAAATAGTCATCTTTCAGAGATTTATCCAATGTTTTTAAAAATGGGATTTTTTTTTAGTTATTAGGAATGTTTGATTTATTTTTTATCCCAGACATTTGAGCTGCCAACCAGTCTGTCACTAACAGCAGCAGGAAACAGTCTAATGAATTCTAAGACTCCGATCCTGCAACGAACTCTAAATGGGCACGCTTTCATTGACTTCAGCAAGGCTCAGTGTATGCAAAGGAGTCCAATGGAAGATAACTTGTGCAATTGGGACCTAAATCTCTCCTCCCTTTATTTTGTTTTTTAAATGAGGGAATGGGAGAATTCCAATCAAATGATCGAGGCACTAACTCAACATAATAAGGTAGTAAGATTGCGCCAAACCTGCCATATATATAAAGTGTTGCAGTGAAATGTTTATTAAGGTGTCAAGTGTAAAATTGTAATGTTTTAGTTTTCATTTATTTATTTTTCAAAAAGCATAAATGTTTTTTCCAGGTAAAAGTGCTGTTTTGAAAAGTCTGTTGGACATTCACAAGATTTTTCGAGAAAATGACCCTGCCTACATCCTTAATGATCTCTACATTACGGACTACTGTATTTGGATTCAAAAAACCAAGTAAGTTTTAAACCAGTTGCTATTCTGAGAGAGTTTTTAGCATATTGTATCCAGGAACAAGTGTTGATAATTTGTAAACTTCTCAAAATGGAAAAAAAAATCCTTCCTTAAAATCATAAATGGAAATCTGTTCAATCTTTCACTTATTAAACGTACCTAACATGCTATTAATGCTAGACAAAAGAAGGCATTTTATTTTTTTAATAATGTTGGTAGTAGTAGAAGAATGGAAGGTTTGCTTTTAAATAAAAATATAAATTCCATTTGTTTGCAGACTGCTAAAACATAAAGGAGGTGAAACTTTATAGGAGTGTTCATGTAACGGCACAGAAATCAAGAAACTTTTTCAAGGCATTAAAATGATTAAAAAACATTCATGTAACATTTGAAAAGTTTGTGGCAACTCACAAATCCTGAATTTGGATGTCTTGAGCTAACGAGACACACAAAATATTTCATCTGCACAGAACAGCTGACTTAGGTATTTTACATTTACTGGTTGTACTAATTGGTTTCAGCACCTAGAATGAGGATTGTAGCACAGATCCAGCTGAATAAGTGCAATCTACACCAGTTTCTTCCTGGGGTAGATAGGAAGCTGCGATGGAGGGGTCAGCTGGTTCTCCACCTGTCAATGCCGTGTTTTGCTTCTTACTCCAAGCAGCAATGTAGGGTACAGGAACCTCAGTAACTCCAGAATGCCCTGGTACAGTCATGGTTGTAAAATGTACTGCATGTGGATGTGTTAAAACTGCTCTGGGAATATCTTGCTGCTGAAGGCATGGTAATTGATATACAGTATAATATAGTATCATCCTGATATGGCTTGATGGTCTGTAAGCAGCCTCTAAATCTTAGTCAGTAATTTAACACAGAGAGAGTCACAAGAAATTGTGAATCCTTTAAATCCACCAGTCACAAAAGGCAGATTATATTGGATGACATGACCAAAAAAATTTCAGAGCAAGTATTGGGGCAGGAAGGGAAATACGAAAGAGAATTTTTTATTTTGTATAAAATATGGATCCAACTTAAATAGGCTAATATTAAGGCCTTGTCTACACTTACCTCCGGGTCCGGCGGCAGGCAATCGACGTTCTGGGATCGATCCCGGAAGTGCTCGCCGTCGACGCCGGTACTCCAGCTCGGCGAGAGGAGTACGCGGCATCGACGGGGGAGCCTCCCTGCCGCGTCTGGACCCGCGGTAAGTTCGGACCAAGGTACTTCGAATTCAGCTACGTTATTAACGTAGCTGAATTTGCGTACCTTAGTCCGAAGTGGGGGGTTAGTGTGGACCAGGCCTAAGAAATGGCACATCTGAGTTCTGAGGGTGTGTGTTTTGTATTAAAACATGTAGTTTGACATCACCAGAATGTCTCAATGAATAATAGTCCTGCAATTTACCACTGCCTGTTACTAAATGCTGTGTATTACTTGATTGTTTGTTCATTTGCTCTTCAGTATATTTTTTTAAATGATTAATTTTGCTCCCACTATGAAGAGTGGGGAAAAAAATCTATTACAATATAAAAAACTGTTTAATTCCAGTATAGCAAAATACTGCTAATTCAGTCAGTTTTCACTTCTTTGATTAGGCCAGTTTAGGCCAGTAGCCTAAAGAGAGCCACTGGAGAATTCATAAGCAGACTGAAGCTTTAGTGGAGAAAGTACAGTAAATGAAGACAGAGGTCTTTTCATGCATCTCTCACGAAGAAATGAGTCCTAGGAGAGAAGTATTGCTGCTGTCCACGTCAGTGAATATAACATCTAGCAAGCCAGTCATTGGAACTTAGCCTTTCTTCAAATGCAGTGGAGGAAAATGTAGGGTTGATATAAGGGACTGATGGATTAATACATTTACTGCAAGACACATACATTAGGTACCAGTTAAGCAGAACTGACATCCTCGGGAAAGAGGCAATTAAGCTATCTTACGGTCATAATGATATGGCACAATAGTTGCCTGTCATTAGGAGAGCAAGAGACAGAGAAACTGCAGAATCAATCTCCTATTTTTAGGCCCCGAATCAGGAAAGCATTTAATCATGTGCTTATGTCCTTTTCTATTCAGGATAACACTGAACCATAAGCTTGAAATTAAGCACGTGCTTAAGTGCTGGCCTGAACAGAGATCTTTTCTTGAATCAGAGCCTTAATGTTTTCCACTAATAAATGTTGTAGGAAATTGTTAGGTTCACATATGATTTCAAATAATATATAGGGGAATCAAAAATAGGCAATGGCTGGTCTGCTAACAATGGGGGGGGGGCACATCTTAATAGAATGATCACATGAGCCCCATGTACTCTCATGCATGGTCACATAGCATCCCTGTGGCAGCTGCCGCAATTGCTTACCTTAAAAGGGTATATGGGGGTGGGGAGGGAGGGTGGGAATATTTAGGTATTTATAGCTATCTTTAATGAAGTATTTCATTCTTTTTGAAATCGGTTGACGAAACTCTACTTTTGGTCTTCATTTTATTGTTTGGTCATACCTGTTCTTTGCTCCTCTGAACACGCAACTAAAATGCTTTGTTCCCTTCTTCCCTGGGTGTTCCTCTGCTCTTGTGGCTGGCAGCATCAGCCCCACTGATGGTTCAAAGTCTATGAAGGCAGGTCCTGTTTTCTTGCCTCAGATTTGTAAGCAACCCGTAATAGAGGCTGAGCCCCTTTTGTTTCCATCTGCTTTTACAGGTCTCCTGGTTCCTTTTTGCAATGAAAAACTTGGATACTTGTGAAAGCGGAGACACCTCCATTAGTTCTCCCTGGGGATGCACCAGCAGACAACAGTTTGGGAGCCCCTGGTTTAGGACAATTTTATATATTAATGCACTTTCAAATCCTAGATTAGAAGAGTGCCTTGGAGTTCTGATTACACAAGGCTTCCAGTTTAAGGCCTTGTCCACAGTACAGTTGTGTATTTGTAACCAGTTATTGACAGACTCATCTGACCCAGTCAGAACACAGTTTGAATTATGTCCACAATGCAGCTTTTCTGATTCAGAGCTGGAGATAAATATGCTTCACATCTCTGCCTACCAGGCACTCTGTTTATGTTTGCATCAGTGATTTCTGGGAAAACCTGGGCAGTTTTCCGATGTTGCTTCAGCAGGGGAGAATGTGCCCAGAAGAAGCTGTGAGGTTTCTTAGGGTGTATAGGACTGAGAGTCACTTTGTTACCCCCCCTGCCTCCAGCGAGCGGGAGACTTGTTTGTGCTTAACTGAATGTCAGATCCCTGACACCATCAGCCTGTTTGCCACCCAAACAGTCTTCTCTGGGCTATGCCAGCCCTTATTTTGCCTTGAAGATTAACAATAGGTGCACCACAGTCCCTGAGCCCCTTTGAAGCATTCCACTCTAGTGGCCAGCCTCTTCTCCACCAAAAGTCATAGATATACCAGATTTGCTGTGCCCATGGGAACAGTGTACACCAGTTGTCTCCAACCTTTTTACGCCCAAGATCACTTTTTGAATTTAAGGGCAATCCAGGATCTACCCAGCTCTTCACCGAGGCCTCACCCCTTCCCCAAAGCCCCACCTTGCTCACTCCATTCCCCCCTCTCTCCGTTACTTGCTCTCCCCACCAGGCAGGGGCAGAGAGTTGGGGTTTGGGAGGGAGGGGAGTGCTGGCTCTGGGATGGGGACAAGGGGTCTGCAGTGTGGGAGGGGGCTCTGGGCTGAGCCTGGGGCAGGGGGTTGGGGTTCAGGAGGGCTTGTGTGCTCTGGGAGGGAGTTTGGGTGCAGGAGGGGGCTTCAGGCTGAGTCAGAGTGTTGGGATGCAGTAGGGGATATGGGGTGCTGGCTCTGGGACGGGGCTCAGGGCTGGGGCAGGGGCTTGGGATGCAGGAGGGGGGTATGGGCAGTGGCTCCGGGAGGCTGCAGGTTGGGTGGTGGAAGAGAAATGCTTGTGTATGATTTTAAACACAGTGATGTGGTCATAGTTGAAAGCAAATGAGCTGTTGAACAAAATGGTGATATATAGGTAGTTGATAAGTCTGATTTGGTGAATACCATCTGATTATTTTGCTTATATTAGAGGTGGTTCTTTGCTGATCCTGTGTATTCCACTGTGGGTACACACCTGTCCCGGGATGGTACCAAGCCAGAAGCTGCTGTTCTCCTGGAGTTCATCATACATAGTTCTGATGGCACCTCCCCCTAGCAATGGAGCCTACATTCTTCTTTTCAGGGGAGTTGGATTTTATTGAACTGGGCTCACCTCCTCAGGGACAAGATCTAAGCCCAACCAGAGGGTCCAGAATTTCTTGGGTGCCTTTGCAATTCTACAAGGCTGAGTCCATGTGAGACTGCCATGAGGACTTCCCCAACCAGTATTTGACCCCTCACACTGGCCTTATTGGTGACTTTGGGGCCCAATAGAAACCATGAAGAATCTGTACAATCCCCTCAAGTATCATTGTGTCATTCCCCTCCCAGAGAGGAACCCAAACTTCCTCAAGAGGCTATGCAGGAAGAAAGAAGGAAAAAGAACCAGAACCAATGGTACCGGCGATCCCACCAAGAACGTTTTCATTTTCTCATGACAAGGAGGTGGCTCCAGCCACACCTTCTCCACCTGATGACAACAAGCAGTTTCAAGATCTACCAAGGAGGGTGGCAGATGCATTCCATTTCCCCCTCAGGGGAGGTCTAAGAGACATCTCAGAGCTCCTGGATATTCTACAGAGTGCTGTGCCTAATAAAATACCACACCTCATTAGTGATGCTATTCTGGAGCCTGCCAGAGCTGTCTGGCACACATCAGCAGCATGTGCCCCCATGCCTAAGGGGCAGAAAAGAAATATTCCATACCAGCCAAGGGAGCAGAATATTTATTTACATGCCCTGTTCTAAACTCTTCAGGTTTGCATGCTGTTACAGAGTGAAGTAGACAATATCAGTAACGGTTTCTTTCTAACAAGGAGGCTAAATGACTAGATCTCCTTGGGAGAAAAATCTTCACCTCAATCATCCAACAATTCAGAACATCAAATTATCAAGTGTTGCTTTCTAAATATGCCTATTAATTACTCAAAGTTAACTGAATTTGCAAACAAATTCCACAAAAGAATAGTGAACAGTTCAAACTATTATTGGGGAAGGTGAAGCTGATTGCCAAATCCTCCCTCCAGACTACGGCTGATGCAGCTGACACAGCCTCCTGTTCAGTGGCTACGATAATCATCATGCATAGAGAGTTCTGGCTCCACTTATCAGGATTCCCCAGGGATGGTCAGGCCATAGCAGACGACTTTGAAGGACTCAAGGGCTACCCTTCATACCCTGGGGATATACACCCCAGTTTTCTAAAGGAAATTCCATAGGCCACAAACATAAAAACCCAGGCTGCCACCTCAACTCTTTAATGATCAGAGAGGATACAAAATCACCACAAAAAAGAGAGAGAACACAGAGAACCAAGCATAACACTCCGCTTCCTCCTTCCTTCCAACCACCGCATCCTGCTAAAAAGTTCTTTTGATGGTATCTTTGAGAGCTGTGAATCCATCCAGATGTCGCATCCTTCATCTGAGAACCCAAATACTCAATTTGGTGGCTGCCTAACCCACTTCTCCCACATGTGGTAGACAATAACAGTGGTCAAATTGGGTACTTGACATCATTCACTCCAGCTGTCTCATAGAATTCACTTCCTTTCTCCTTCCAAAGCTGCCTTCCCTCTTCAAGATCACCTTTCAAGAGAGGTTGCCCAGTCAAGAAGTAGACTCCTCTTGGGAGTCATAGAGCTGGAATCCCTCAACACCAAGGGAAGAGATTCTATTCACAATATTTTCTCGTCCTCAAAGAGAAGGGAGGATGGAGACCCATCTTGGCTCTCAGACAGCTCAGTGTTCTTTATCCACAAAATGATGTCCAGAATGGTCACGCTACCATCAATAATTCCATCTATGAACAGAAATGATTGACTCACAGCTATTAATCTGAAGGGTGCCTACTTTCGTATAGACATACACCTCTTACACAGGAGATTCTCATGTTCATAGTGGGCAAGAACCATTACCAGTAGAGAATGCTCCCTTTCAGCCTCACCACAGAACCAGAGGTATTTACAAAGATAGTCTCCGAGGTAGTAGCACACTTTGCAAGAGGTCTTCAGTTTTTCCGTACATGAATGATTGGCCATTGATGGGGGAAGTCATAACAAGAAGTAGCGATAACAGCTTCTTCCCTAATCAACTTCCTGGCATCTTTAGGAATCAGTGTGAACACAGAAAAGTCTGTTTTAGCTCCCACACAGACTGGAGTTTATTGGCGCAGTCTTGGACTTTGTTACCACCAAAACATATCTCCCTCATGACCCATTTCAAAAGAATCTTGTCCACAGACAGTTGTCTGCTTATGCCTGGTCCTTGTAGGTCACGTGGCATCTTGCACTTGTGTCCTCTTTCATGAGACTTCTCTGTTGCCTCCAACCTTGGCTATGCACAGTCTGTGTGCCAAGCAGACGTGGCATAGACAAATTAATTACACTCCTTCTGGGGCGTAAGACTGGGCTTGGGGATACATCTACACTGCGCACTCCTTGTGGTGGCATGTAGCGTACCTACACTGCACACTCCCCTAGTACGAGTATAAATAGCAGTGCATATGGTGAGGCACTGATCAGGCAAGTCAAGACATGCCTGAATGCACCCATGAATTGCCTCCCCTGTCTACATTGCTATTTGTTCCTCTGCCTCCCCACTGCTGGGATCTTTCCACACGGTGGGGAAAGGCTCTGGTAGCTCCCTGCTGCTAGAGCCTTTCCCTGATGCAAGGAAAGATTCTGGCAGCGGGGAAAGGCTCCTGGCAGCTCTCTGCTACCAGGGCTTGTTCCTGCTGCCTCCCCCCTGCCAGAGCCTTTCACTGATGCATGTAGCTACACATTGCAGTGTGGAAGTAATTTAGCTTTTCACTGTGGCATGTAGCTACACGTACCCTACACAGCTCTGCCAGAGGCGTACAGTGTAGCCATGACCTGATTGGACAGATAGAGACCATATATGTGTTGGAGTTCCATTTTCTCCCCCTTCACCCGGGAGAGCCCTGATCGTGAAATCTCTTGGTTGGGATGGGGTGCCCATTTGGATGAGCAGACCATACAAGAAACATGGACTTCCCAGAAGTCCAGGATACACATAAACCTCTTAGAGCAGAAAACGGCTTGAGAAGCCTGCAAACATTTTCTACTATACCTCTACCTCGATAGAACGCTGTCCTCGGGAGCCAAAAAATCTTACCGCGTTATAGGTGAAACCGCGTTATATTGAACTTGCTTTGATCCGCCGGAGTGCGCAGCCCCCTCTCCCCCCCCCCCCCCGGAGCCACTGCTTTACCGCATTATATCCGAATTTGTGTTAAATCGGGTCGTGTTATATTGAGGTAGCGGTGTACTAATACAAAATCATGTTCAGGTGATGTTGAACTATGTGACAACAGTGTTCTACGTTAGCAAACAATGGGGTTTAGAATCCCCCCCGCCTTTGTATAGAAGCGTTAACATGTGGAGCTGGTGTATTCACCACCAGATTACTCCCTGAGCAGTGCACTTCACAAGAGAACACAGTACACTAGCAGATAGCCTCAGCAGGCACTCTGTCACAGATGCAGCCAGATGGAAAATTGCATCTTTAACCCCTGAGGTCATAATGGCATGTCATCACTTCATTTGATCCCCCTGCTAAGTGAGCTTATCATCCACCCTGCTGTCATTCTTGTTATTACTTTTCATTTCCATAATAAAATTACATTTAATTTGTCTGGTGTGCTTGTCTTTTTTTTTTTTTTTTGGGTCAGTGCTTTTACAAACTATGATGTAGATTAGGGAATGATGGCTGCCTATCCAAAGCTGACTAAAAGACCAATTTTTTCTCCCTTTCCCTCCAAAATAAAATCATTAGGTCTCTACTGTGAAGGACATAGGGGAATGGAGAGAGCAGAAGAGCTGTGGGGTAACAATTGTTTATCTGGGAGAGAGAGGGCTGCTAGGAGCAAAGGAGTCTTAAGTGCGGATGATGTAGGAGAAGAATGGGGCAGGAAGCACTGATGCTGAGAGAACATCCTGTGCATCAAGAGAAGAGACTCCTGCTCTGTGACCCACAGGAGTTTTGTCAGCTGTTGAAGCCAGGGAAGCACTAGTGGGTTTTATTCTCACCTGCTCCTGCAGCCCTGATCTACTCTGTGGTCCCCCATCTAGCTCTTTCTGCTCCTCTAGGCCCCGGTGTTCCCCTTGCCAAAAGATTGCTCCCTGTCTACAGTCTTCCCCCATACCCTACTCTTTCACGTGTCCAGCTCCTAGGCCTTGGTGGGGTGGGGCTCACAAGCATAATACCCAGAGTACTTGGGTGGCCTGATGTGGGGCAATTCTGAGTTGGATAAAGAGCCTGGGGAGGGACACTGGGAGCTGGGATTGGGGAGTGAAACAGACAGAGGGATGACTGGAGGTCAGGGAGAAAGGCGAAAGAGATTGGATGAGGAGCCAGAAGGGAGAAACCGGAGCTGACTGGGCAAGGAGACTGGAGATAAGAAGTTGGGGTGGTGAGAAACTGGGACTGACTTGGCAAGGAGACTGGGACTATGGGGCAGAGAGGGCTTGTGAGAAAGATGGAGACTGTACCCAGGGCTGACGGGGAGTGGGGGGTGGGAAGCCGGTACAAATTACCGGGGCCCGGTGGTCCGGAAGGGGGCCCGGCTTCGTCGGCCCTGTTTAGCCAGTCCGCCCTTGCTGGGAGGCCCGAAAAAATTTTTTCACCGGGGCCCAAACCCGCTCTCGGCGGCCCTGACTGTGACCCAGAAGGGGAGACTAGGGCTGGCTGGGCAAGGACACTGGGATGAGAAGCCTGAGGAATGGAGACTAGTACGAGATAGGCAAGGAGACTGGGACTGGGATGAGGAAAAAGGGATGAGGAACGACAGGACTGGGACAAGGAACAGGTTGGAGTGATGTGATAGAAAGATCAAGCCTAGGTGGAATAGGCGGAAGGGTCTGTTTCCACTAGAGCGCACTCTATTTCAGAGGTTGGAATGGAACCTAAGATTCTTAACATTCCTTTGCTGTCAGCAAATATCTGAACCCCACTGGCGAAGTGTATGTCTTATCTCCTACTAATGCTGGCCAAAATAGAAATTGACAGCCTACTAGTTACCCTGTTAGCTCAAGTGGCAGAGGTCTGACTGTTGAATTTGAAGGTTCCAACTCTGCTGAGGAACCTTATGTATGTCAATATGATGGAGATAATTTTTCATATGTAAGTTTCTAGGTTTTTAAAAAAACAATGTTAAAAGAACATTAAGGTTTCAAAGTAAAACATTAGAAAGTTAGGAAATGCCAGAATTAAGGTTGCTTGTGCAACATTAATTTGGCCTTCAATGTGTGTGCACATTTTGCAATAGTCTTTAATTGCATGATCACATAATATATTTTCCACAGGATTCCTGCCACATTTTTTGTAATCTTCTACTTTATAGCTGTCTCACTGAACTTTATGTATGCAGTGGTGGTGTAGCCATGTTGATCCCAGGTATTCGAGAGACAAGGTAGGTGAGGTAATATCTTTAATTGGACCAACTCACTGAACTTTACTTAGTCCCAAACTTTATCATATCATCTGGAGCTGCTAAATTTTGTGCTGTTTTGTAATGTAAATATACTTCCATGAAGAAAGCAGGTTGAGACCAGCAAATTTATTTGACTTGAGACGAATACCCACATTAGAACTCACCATTGTTTGTATGCCTGTCATCTTTGTGTGGATACATAATAAACTTAAATCCCACTTGATTTGAAATTGTTCCTGGTAAACTACTTAGACCAGGGGTAGGCAACCTATGGCACGTGCGCCAAAGGCAGCACGCGAGCTGATTTTCAGTGGCATTCGTGCTGCATGGGTCCTGGCCACCGGTCCGGGGGGCTCTGCATTTTAATTTAATTTTAAATGAAGCTTCTTAAACATTTTAAAAACCTTATTTACTTTACATACAACAATAGTTTAGTTATATATTATAGACTTACAGAAAGAGATCTTCTAAAAACATTAAAATGTATTAGTGGCACGCAACACCTTAAATTTGAATAAATGAAGACTCGGCACACCACTTCTGAAAGGTTGCCGACCCCTGACTTAGACTGATGTAAGCCCCTAGATAGGTATTTATTTTAACTTAACCCCACAAACACTTCCTGGTTGCATGGCATTGTTTATCTTGCACAAAGACTAGTACTTGCCGGTATCCATTTAACATCTCTTCATTAAGACTATAACAGGGTTCAAAAAAGAACTAGATACGTTCATGAAGGATAGGTCCATCAATGGCTTTTTAGCCAGGATGGGCAGGGATGGTGTCCCTAGCCTCTGTTTGCCAGAAGCTGGGAATGGGCGAGAGGAGATGGATCACTTGATGATTACCTATTCTGTTCATTCCCTCTGGGGCACCTGGCATTGGCCACTGTCAGAAGACAGGATACTGGGCTAGATGGAACTTTGGTCTGACCCAATATGGCCGTTCTTATGTTCTTGTGTTATCTTGCACAAAGACTAGTATTTGCCGATATCCATCTACATCTCTTCAGTAAGGACAGATGTAGACAAAAATACTTACTTAGTGGCCTTCTACCTTATCACCAGTTGCTTAGAAGTCATTCTTTTTTCATTACACTTTTGTAAAGAATTTATCCATAATTTAAAGCATAATAAATGTCTGAAAAGTTTTAAAGCTGAAGTCCCCTTTTATAAGGAATCTGAGGGCAGTATGAAAACCAAAGGAGAAGCCTGACTGAGGAATAGAAGTTTTTTCTTTCCTTTCAAGGCTTTTCTTATTATGACTGTATAAAGTCAGAATTAACTGGGGCATATTTTCCTCCTCATATTGTGGATGGAGCTGTCAATTCCTATTAATAGGAACTTAGTGTGCAGAGTATTGTATTGACGTGCATAGGTATAAAAAAATGCAACACTCAAAATGATTTAATTCAACAAAACAATATCATGTACAATATATTTTGTCTCACAGGACGCCAACGTGATGCCTTGGAGATGAGAATACTCAGGATGCCCTACAATACATAAGCATCCAAACTTTAGTAATATTAACCACTCAGGATTCCATAGGAACACGTGGTTTGCCTTACTGGATCAGAACCCAGCTCCATCTAGTCCACTGTCGTGTCTCCGGCAGTGGCAAAATCATATGCTTCAGGGAATGGTGTCAGAACCCTGCAGTAGACGTATGTGGAATAGTCTGCTTTCCACATAGCTCTCATCCTGATCTCTGATAGTGGTTGGCTTAAATCCTGAATCACAAGGTTTAATATCGTTTCTAAAATGTTTGTCATTAATTATGATAAATTTGAATATTTTTATATCCATATAAATATCTAATTCCTTTTTGAATTTTGCTAAGTTTTTGGCCTCAATGATTTCCTGTGGCAGTGAATTTCACAGCTTAGTTACATTTTCTGAGGAAAGAATATTTTCTTCTATCCATTTTGAATTGCCTACCTTTTAATTTAAATTTGAATGTTCTCCTTGTTCTTGTCTCTTGAGCCAGGATCTCCCTTCTGTATATCATTAATTTATTTTCTTTTATCGTATCCCTTCTTCATTTCCTTTCTAAGACAAACAGTCCTCCTAATCTTTTCACTTTTTCTTCATATGAGAGTTTTTCCAGACCTTTGTTCATTCTCCTTGCTCTTCCCTGAACCTCCTCCAGTTTTGCAATATCTTTTTGAGGTGGGGTAACCAGTACTATGCACAGTCTTCTAGGTGTGACCACACTATTGGTTTATCTAAAGGCATTATAATGTTTTCAGTATTCTCCATCCCATTCCTTATACCTCCTCACAACTGGTTAGCTTTTCTTGACTGCTCCTGTGCATTGAGCACACGTTTTCAGTAGCTGTGTGTGGTGGCACCCAGGTCCCTTTCTTGGGTTGATAGAGTTAATTTAGAACCCTGTAAGGCGTAAGTAGTTTAATTTTTTTCCTCCAGTGTGCTTTACTTTGCAGTTACCAATATTACATTTCATGTGCCATCGCGTTATGCATTGACCCAGCTGTAAGTTCTCTTTGAAGTTCCACACAGTCCTCTCTAGTCATGACTAGTGTAAATAACTTCGTGTTGTTCCATGTGTATAAGGAAAACAATACGAGAGTCAAGTCAAGAGCCCTGTATGGGTCAGAGAGGAGCATTTTGTCCTTCAGACTTAGGCTATGTCTACATTAGCACTTTTGTCAGTATAACTTATGTTGCTCAGGCATGTGGAAAAAAACCACACAGACCCAAGCGACCTAAGTTACACCAACAGAAATGCCAGTGTGGACAGCGCTATGTCGGCAGGAGACGCTCTCCCACTGAATAGCTACTGCCACTCCTTGGGGGTGGTTTAATTATGTTGACGTGAGAGCTCTCTCCCGTGTAGACATGGCCTTACTGTTAAGTCTGTGCCAATATATTGAGATGCTGAGAGGTACTGGTGACCGCTTAGCTCACAGTACCTCTTTTAGATTCGATTAACAAAACTGTCAGGATGAGTTAATCTGACGCACCCGACTTACGATAAAAAGCGGTTGTAAACCCACCCGGGAGTGTGGACTGAGTGGGTGGAGGCATTTTGCTGAGTATTGTTGGTGGGTGTGGGAAGGGGGCAAGGGAGAATGCACAGAAATGGAGAACAGACAAGAACAGAGGGGGGCAGGGGCAAAAGGCAAGAAAGCCAAGCAGTAGCTGGTGAACACTGTGACCCTGGAAAAAGTTAAGGAGAAAACTTTGGGTCTGTTGGTTAAAGAGGCTTGGGGCTATAAGCTAAATAACTGATTCTTATCATCTTGGTTCCTCCTGTATTTGGAGAAGCAGGACTTTGTACATTGCCTATAAATAAACAAGATTGTGTCAAACAAAATGCCAAACTCTGTCAATTTCTGCTTACAGCTGGAACATCCCAAGGGCCCCAGACTTTGACTAGCTGCTGGGGTCCTACACATGGTAAAACACTACAGGAAGTGTGATGGGTGTACCGGGCTTTCGGTGCTCCCTGCAAATGGGGTCTCAGCATGTCTCATTCCATCCCCATTATGCTACTAGGAGAAGGCTCCACCCAGCTAGACGGCAGCATAGTGCTTTGGGAGTTAAATCTTGGTAGGGTTTTCAGAGTTCTGGGTGGGATGACCTCCCTGAGCTGAACCAATCCTGTTCTGTTGAGCCAAAGTATGTTCAAACTCATAAAAAGAGGCCTGAAAGGAAGAGGAGGATTTTGGCTGTTCAGTTATGCAAATAAGCAGGTATCAGAGGGGTAGCCGTGTTAGTCTGAATCTGTAAAAAGCAACAGAGGGTCCTGTGGCACCTTTGAGACTAACAGAAGTATTGGGAGCATAAGCTTTCGTGGGTAAGAACCTCACTTCTTCAGATGCAAGATGCTTCTTCTT